CTAGACTAGGTGCCCCTACTCTGTGCTTTCTAAACAGCCTGTTCTGTTCTTTCCCACCTATACACTTAGCACACTTTATTGTCACTTCTTACTGATCACTGCTAGACTGTCAGCTTTGTAAGGGCAGGGACCATATACCTTGCTAATAACTGTTACATCTCTAGTGCTTAGCACAATGCCTGGCATTTCAATAAATGTTGGATGAATAAATATTTGTGTAGTGTTTAATGATCTCTGAATCCCTGTCATAGTCTCACAAGTGAACTTTGACCTTCACAGTGGTCCTGCCTTAGAGTGCTTGCTGGGTAATATTATCCACATATTACAAATTAAAAGACATGAAACTAAGTTCTTTGTGTAGAGAATTTGCAGTTTAGCTTAGTGCTTGGCATGTGGTACAAAAATTATGTAAATGTTGCTGAGGAAACAAACTTAGATTGCAATTTGCTCTAGTGAACATAAGTAGTAAAGCCAGGCTTCAAACCCAGGTATACTTGCATAAAAATCCACTGTTTGTAGTACTAAGACTTTACCTCCTTGATACAGAAATCTTAATTTTTTTTTTTTTAATTTCCAAAGGCAGACACTCAAAGGAACCTGGATGAAAAAGGTTGGACAAATATTTAATGGACTAAAACAGTACTTCAGTAATTAAAAAGCTATAATCAGGACCAGAGGTAATGTTGCTTAAGAGTTCATGTTAACCATTTTCTTCTTGTAAACATCCACCCTAGTTGAAGATGGCATTCTGTTTACTTGCAACTTCACAGACGGTTTCTGGCTCTTCTGGGATTTAAAAGTAAGTAAATTTAACAAAATACTAGAATGACTCAGCCCTTCGGGTCACTAGATACTCAGTTCACTCGCTTTCTTACCTGCAGAATGTCCTTACCACCTCTCCAAGCAAGATGACCCAAAAGTGACATCTGGTCCATGTTTACCTCTTAGATTGGCTACGTTTCTTTGCTTTCTTATTCACATGTGTCTCTGAACTTAATTTCTGGGTAACGGGCTTTCAGGCTTCATGCGAAAGTCATACCCTTAGTGTCTTTCTTGAGCATTTTTGTCCAATTTAAACGATTAACAAGGTTACACTCTTAGTTGGATGTCTACTCCGAGGTGTACTGACTCAGTCAGAGATCTTAGCAGTAGGTGCGATAGCAGTCTGTTGACTCAATCCTGCTATAAAACTGGGTTTTAATCAACCTTTGGATTAAAGGATATCATTTTTATCTTTTTGTAATTGAGAAGTGGCCTCATCTTACCCCATAAGTACTTGAGCTTGTGAACTCTGTTCTCTTGCATTTCTGCTTGCAAATTGATGAATTCTTTTCTGAGTTCATCTCTTTCTTACACATTTTGTCAAATGCAGCCAATAGCGACCATAAAATATTTCTCTTGTCTTTTTTTCTTTAGTAGAGGATAGATTCTCTGCCCTCCAGTTTCACCACTCCATCACAGGATTTGCTCCTACATAACATTTCTTCCATCTGCTATTGCAGTTTTTGGAATGCCTGCCAATTAAGCCAATGTTCAGTACATCAGGTTTTTTGAAAACTACCAAGTTCTGTGTTGGGATGGGCTTCGTTGCCATGTGGTAACAACCATAAAAATCTCAGTGTCTCACACAGCTTTTATCTTGCAACTTGGCTAGGGCCTTTGTGCTAGGTTGGGTTGACAAACAACGGTTTACAGGTAAAATCTGTCCTGCCTGTTTCTGTAAATAAAGTTTTATTGGAAGACAGCCTTGCCCATTTATTTACATGTTGCCTGTGGCTGCTTTGCTCTGCAGTGGCAGCAGTATGTAGCTGTGACAGTGTATGGCCCACAGAGTCCAAAGCATTTACTACATATCCCTTTACAGAAAATGTTCACAGATCCCTGCTTTAAGTTGTCCTTGTCCTGGGACGCAGGCTAACCAAACAGATGTCCTCTAGGGTGTGACTGCTCGTTTTGGGAAATGAAAAAAATACAACAGATCACATACAGGCTCTGGAAGCACTTTGGCCAAAGCCAAGCACATGGCCATGCCACAGCTGGAGTGTGATCCTTCTGCAGCCATGAAGTGAAACCAAAACATTTGGAGGACAACATAAATGATGAACACATGCTTGTATCTCTTCTTTATGTAATTTCTTTCAAAATGGTTTTTCTTTTTCACTGAGGTGAAACTTAGATTTAGTAAAGTGTGCAAATATTAAGTGTACCCTTCTGGGTTTCACTGTTGAGCATGCCCTTGAGCCCATCACCCAGATCAAGGCACTGAGCATTCTGGACCCCAGTGGGTGCCCACATGCCCTCCACACATGACCACTCTTCTGACCTTTATCACTATAGGTGGATTTTGTCTTTTAAAACTTTATGTAAATGTAATAATTTTGTGTGCTCATGTCTTGTTCAACATTATGTCTCAGTCATCTGTGTTGCATGCAGCAGCAGTTCATTTTTTCTGTGTAGTAGTAGTCCACTGGGTGACTACCACAATGTAGGAATCCATTCTGTTGATGGAAATTTTGGTTGTTTCCATGGTTGGTTGTGGTTATTATGAATAAAGTTGTTAAGAACACTTTTGTATCTGTGTCAGTGAACGTGTATACCCATTTCTGTCAATATATTCTGACATATACTTTGCTTCCATACTATGTAATTACCCACAGAGCAACCAGTGTATTTATATTTAGACCGTGAAATTAGACCATGCTAACTGCTCAAAATCCTACAATGGATTAATATCACAACTAGAATAAAAGCTAAGGTTTTTGTCATGGTCTGTTAAGCCCTGCATCATCTGCATCCACACATACCTGCACACATACCTTTTTTTTCCTTCTTCATCTTACATTGTATCTTTTGTCCCTTTTCCTTTCCCCAGTCTCTGCTCTGTAACAGGCACTGCAATTGTAAATTGGGGAATCAAGATGATTTGACCTTGTCCTTAAAGTGGTGAAATTTACCTGGATGATTTTAACAAGCTGTAACACTGGCTTATGTTAAAATTACTAGTTCTGCGGGGAATTTGGCAGAACTGATTAAAATAGGCTGAAATAATTTACAATAATGTTTAGTACCTGAAGGCATTTAGAAAATAAGTAAAATGTAAAAGCTCCTTGATAAATTGAAGAAATGAAATTCTTGCATTTTCTACTCGTGAGGAATTAAGAGTTCACCAACTTGGTGACACTGTTGTATTTCTTTTTACTGTTAACATTCACTTCCATGGAGGGATAGGTGTGGGCTGAGAGCTGGGGTGAGGAGAGTGAGAACACATTGGAAGTCCAAAATAGTTCAGCCATAACAAGGCCTCCTTAAATGTGCCATTATTGGTATATTATTGCTTATAAAATAACAGAATTTATAGACTTAAGCTCCTAACACATTTTTTTACAGCTTTATTGATATACAGTTGAAGTACAATAAAATGTAAGTATTTAAAGTGTAAAATTTGGTTTAGACATACATGTAAATGCATAAAACTGCAATCAAGATGAACATTTTATCCTTCCCAAAAGTTTACCATTTGGTGTGGACTTATGGAAAGGGAAATCAATTCCAATTTAAGGGGAGGGAAGGACTTCTTGGAAGGAGAATATGAGGATGTTTCAACCATCACTGAACATCCCTGTGAACTGAGCCAGCCAGCCTGGCTCTCCATCACCACCCAGCTCTGGGGCCACTGGCCAGCAGACCTCCTCTCATGCTGACGTGGCATTCCTGGGCAGGGACTTGTGGTGGTCCAGCTTGCGGTGCCTTCCCTGAGGGCAGAGGGGGGTTCCTTTAGTGAAGGGAGTGATGAAGTGCACCTCGTGTCTGATGGCTTTCTGATTGTTAGAAACCCACATGCCCTGGCCTAAGGGGAAACAAGGGAATGATTAGAGAAAAAGGAGTATCTCATGGAAGAGGTGGAGGGTGGTAAGTTCAGCAGTAATCCAACAATTATTTAATGAAGGCACGTTAGTGCCAGGCACTGGACTGGCACTGGAGATTCAGATTACTAAGCCGAATGAATTTACTGCCTTCCTGGAGCTTGTCTGTACCATCTGCACATCTGCCTCATTCTCTGAACACCAGCTGCCCCTGCTCATCTCTACTTTTAATGGAACAGTGTAGTTGTTATAACAGGAGAAATGCTTTAACGAGGACCCAAACATGGCTACAGGCCCCCAGCCCTGTGGTTGGTGAGGACGAAGAGGAGAGGAACACTAGAATATAGTCTGGGTGGACAGACACCAAAAGTGTTCTAATAGGATCACTGTCAGAGCAAGTTGCTGACTCGGTTAGCAACACCTGACACTCAAGAGCCATTCCAAGGGGTGGTTTGACTCCTGTTATCAGGGTCTCTCTGACCCTTCTGAGTCAAAATTTAAAAACTGAATTTAGGGAGTCCACGGAAAGATAATTTATTCCAACACCTTTACAGGTACAGAAGTTGGGTCCCAAAGAGGTGGCTAAAGCTTTTCTGGATTATGCATTAGCACCAGGACAAACGCTATTTCCTAACTCCTGTTCCAGCGCTTTTTCCACTCTGCCATTGTTGTCATTAACACATTGGTCCTGTTACCCCATTCCTCTTAAGGAACGACGGCCTGTTTGCCAGGTGGAGGACCCCAGTATCCTCACAGCCTTACCCTGTGGTTCTGGCTAACAATGGCTGAGACTGGGTATCTCGTAGTGCTTACACAGAAATCCTTTAGGGATCCAAAATTCTTTGTGATACTGTTACCTTAGATATATAATAATTATAAAGTTTTCATATCTTGGTGTATTCTGAAACAGTTTAAACAGTGTACATATTACCTGCTTCTAGAGGGCTTGACAAAATTTATCTGAGAAGAATGAAACTGGTGCCACTTTAGGTAGTCGTTTAACATTTTTTCACTTTCTTAATATCTCTTGCTTATCAATTTCCATTTTTAAAATTTCGTAGGAAATTTTGCTTTAACATTTTCATGTGTATTGAGTCTTTCATAGCATTTTTATTTATCTCCTCTTTATCTCTTACTCCCTTTCTCGCTCCTAATGTTCCCACTTTCCCTTTTGCTTAATTAGCCTCACTACAGAATTCTTTTTTATCCTTTTCAAAGAATTTGCTCCTATGCTTACATACCAGTGCCATTATTTTCTAATTCATAGATTCCTGCTGCTATTTTTTAAATTCACTCTTCCTATTTTCTTACTCTTTTTTCTTAGATTATTTTTTCCACATCCTTGAATTGAATATTTTTACACTTTAATAATTAACCTATCTTCATTGTACATCAAACCTATTACCAATGTGTAAATTGCTAAAGCCTGTGTTATGCCTTTTACTGACTTGAATTCTTATTTGACCGATGTGGATGCTGTACTGTGCCACTGAGAAACCTCCATTAGCACTGAAGTTCTTATTTCTTCTCTTAAAAACAAGGCTTTCTTATATAATTACAATGTGATTGTCACACCTGATAATTTTTTGACAAAAATCAGTGCCTCATCCGTACTCAGTTTTCCCTATTTGTTCTAAAATATGACGTTTGCCATTGGTTTCTTTAAATCAGGATGTTAATAAGGTCCACACTGTGTGTGGTGGTTGTGTTTCTTAAATCTCAGTCCAGAGGAGTCCCTCTGCCTGCTCCCCATTTTTTCACACCATTGTTTTGTTGAAGAAACCAGGTCAGTTGTACAGAATGTTCCACATGCTATAGTTATCTGTTTTCTTCCTTATTGGGTTGTTTAATTTGTACCTCTATCCTCCATATTTCCTGTAATCTTCTAAAAGCTTGATTAGGTTCAGGTTTAACTATTGTGGCTAGAATACTGAAAAGCTGGTACTGTGTATTTCTTAGTGCCTCACATCCAGATCACTGGCTGTCTTTGCTCCCCAGTTTTAGAAATAACTGCGATTGGCTAGTGGCTTCCAGGCTTCCAGCCCCATCCTGCCTTTGTCAGTTTTCCAATTAGTCTTTCATCTGATGCTTTTGATCCATTGATCATTGTGTCCTGAATCTATTACTTCATTAGGACTTGCACTAGTTATTATGTATTGCACTTCGTTAGTTATTTTTCTAGCTCTATCATTCCCTCTACATTTATTAGCTGGGATTCTTCTGTAAAGTAGAACTTTTCCATATTAACAAGGACTGTTTAGTTACCTTGAAATATAGTTGAAGCAGACATGCCAAGGAGTCACAGAAAAGATCTGTGAGGATAGGAATTTATTTTGCTTTACTGATGAATCTCCAGGCACTAGTTGGCCTTCATTAAATAGTTGTTGAAGGCACAATAATTCCTTAATTCTTCCCCTTTAATTACTAATTTTCACAGGAATTCATGTCTCTTTTTTACCTGTGGACTTTATATTTTAATAAAACTTTCATTTATAAACATGCAGGCTTTTACAGTTTAATTGTTTCAGTCTGCTCTCGGTTTTCTTCTTTTTGATGCTCTTGTTGCCTCATCTTTGGCCTTTGGGAGAGCTTCCTCGAGTTGCCTCCTGCATCATTTGCCAGGATCCATTAGTCTTTGATACCTTCCATACTTTCCTGCCTAAGATGTTCCAGGCTCATCTCTAAGTACGTACCCCGTATCTGGTCTGGAGCCCCAGTCCCTTGAGATAAATAATGGTAGAGATCATCATTAAGGTGTTGGCATTGCTTGTTGCTCGCTGGCTGTCATTGCTTTAGGCCTTTCTAATGCACAGAACTAAGAAATACATAGTTTATGGCCATACTGATATTTCCAATTTAAATTTTAAACATTGCAAGTTTTTTTTAACTTCTTTGATTTTTGTACTGACATTTACTTTTATACTGAAAATGTTAGTTTCTAAAACATTGGCATAATAACTTACTTGCTTTATCTACAATATACATAAAATATTTTCAAAATAACTTTAAATGATTCAGTAATATTAATAACAGATTACCAAATGAAGTTGAGATTTCTGGACAGTTGTAGTCTTTACAATATTTCCCACTAAGATTGTATAGTCAAAATATTGTGCTATACAGTTATTTCAATTGTAAGTCAATTGAAATAATTATTTTTGTATATGGTTATATATATATATAACTTGATATTCATTTAGGTTTATTTCAGTTTGGGACATGTTTAGATTGCCTTTTTATTTTTTAATTTTATGTTTTGTGTATATAAAGGAAATATTGCTTCTGAAGATAAAACTGTATGATGCCTCATTTCCATCTTTTCCCTTGTAATGCAACATACAGAGCTGTCTGAAATTAACCCTGGGTTCTCACTGGATTATCTAGGAAATGAGCTAGCCAGGCTCACATCCTTTTCCTTAATGGAATGACTGCACTTGTGAAGTGTTAGGGACAACTGCTAACTTAGAGGGAATACCATCCACACAAAACTGCTCTCACTTCTGACACAAATACAAGTTCAGGAGGCTCCCAAAACTATCATCAGATTTCAGTAATACACTAGCAGGACTCAGAACTCTCTGAAAGCTGTTGTACTCATGATTATGGTTTATTACAGGGAAAGGATACATGTTAAAATCAGTCAAAGGAAGAACAGAATCCAGGGAAGGACCAGAAATGGAATTCCTGTTGTCCTCTCCCATGA